CTGCCCACCCCCCATCGGCTCCGCCCCTTCCCACTCCCCCCAGCCTGGGGCTCCGAATCCTCCCTGGCCGTTGCCAAGGAGACAAGCCGATACCAGGCAAATAGGCATTCGAGAAAGAAAAAGACGGGAAAGCTACACCGCAGCCTGGTAACAAAGGAGCAATAAAAGCAGCCCCCAAATGGAGGGCTAAGAACACGTCAGGAGAAAATCCAAAAGCGAGCTAGCAATCGCCCCAAGTTTAACCGGGAGGGGGAGGCAAAGGAAGGGGCATGATTCACGTTGGGGGTAGGGGGAAATCAACAGCTTAAAAGAGCTTTTGAGAATCGCCTGGATGGTGGTTTTGGATCAGCCCAGTTGGCTTTTCAAGTTGGAACGACGCTAATACAAGGGATTCGTAACCATCGCGGCGGTTGGGGTCTTGGGCCAGGCCAGCGGGCTCCCTTAGGGTGATAACAAGTTTGGCAAGATACACTTCTACGGAAACGTCTTAACGTCGGCTGTGGGGAATATGACTTCGTGATTGAATAATGACGCATCTGAAGAAGTGGACAGTGAGAAGACGAAGCTTCATGTAACGATCTGCAGCTTGGTATTTTCAAAGCAGTACTTGAACAAAGAGTTTTTGGCTTGAATCAACCGTCTTTTTCACTCAGAGTGTGACCCATTTCCCTACAATGAGCAGGAAAATAAAACTTTGAGAATTCAGAGCCAGCACCGGGAGAAGTGAACCATTCCTCCGACTGCTTCTCACCTCCATAAGCTAAAGATTATTCATTTGAGGATCACTAAATGTAAACGAGAAAAAGTAGTCTGATTTGGACACGAGTGAAAACTTTGGGAGCAAAAATGTAGGTGGCAGGAGAATGCTTATAAGGGTGTATCCTTGATTTTTGCCTCTCCCCCTCCCCCTCCATTCTTTAAATCAGTGCGCTGTCTTTCACGCACAAGTAGCGTCTGGTACTTCGGTGGCAAGGGGTGCAGATGGAGGTACCCTGGGTTCCCTTAAAGAAGCCTTTTCTCTAACCCAAGTTAGACTTGGAGCGTTCAGGGATGTTCTTGCTATCTCTCAATATGTAATTTCTCCTTAGAACTGTAATAGTCAATCCGGTTGTTCAGAGTTTCGTCGCGGCTGCCTCCCTCCCTTCCAGGAGCCCACTCGATTGCGTGCACATTCACACATGTTCAGGAAGAAAAGAGTCCCTCCGATCCTGGCAGTAGGCTGAATAAGATTCATATCGACGCGAATTGCATCCCAACTGTAAATATGGATTCGTACACTCTAGGCTGTGTCTCATTTCACCACAGAGGAAAAACTGTCATTTCATACAACGATAAAATGCAGACCTTTCTGATCTTTTGTACATGGCCCTCACTTTATATTGTTGGGGGGAAAATCACTAATTGGGAACGGGGAGGGCGGGGGGTTGATGAGCGCCGCAGGCCAATCTCGAAATATTTTATTTCATGCCAGTGTGGGATGGAGAAGGGAGTGTGGCTTCGTCTGCTTGCTGCTTTTGCATTTTCTACATCTGGCCCACAGACCTAATTCTAACTCACGATCTCGTTTGATGAAATTCGATCTTCTTGGTTTAAATACCTTTCAATTTGGGGCTAATTCACATTTGCAACCGTTAGAAAAACAAACCCTGTGCAGTATCTGTGAAACCAATATGGAACACAGAGACAGAAAACATGCTGCACACATATCCCCACCATTGTCTTAAAAACTCGCATACATACACACATACACAGAAACACACGGGAAAGATGGGGGAGGGGAGGGAGGGGAGGGAGACAGACACGGATATAGACCGACCAGAGTCAAAGCGAGTCAATTTAACGCTTTCTCCGCCCCCATCCACAAGTACCACCCCTCCCGCTTTAATTAATTACAAACAAAGCAAGCCAATCAAGTAATGCATTAGTATTTTCAAGCAGAGGGAGGCGAGAGGCATGTATTTTTTAATTGATTTATTTATTTGGAGGACATTAATTCTCGGTCTGAGGCTGATTTTCAAACCGTTTGCAAAGCGCGGCTCCATTGTTCGCCGGGCGTGCAGGCCCCGCCCCCTGCTTTGTGTGCGGCGCGCGGATTGGCCGGCGCGCGCGGGGGCCGCGTCAGCGCCCGCGAGCCCATTCATCTGTGCACTTGGGCGTTGGACCCCGCATCTTATTAGCAACCAGGGAGATTTCTCCATTTTCCTCTTGTCTACAGTGCGGCTACAAATCTGGGATTTTTTTATTACTTCTTTTTTAAAAAAAACTACACTTGGGCTCCTTTTTTTGTGCTCGACTTTTCCACCCTTTTTCCCTCCCTCCTGCGCTGCTGCTTTTTGATCTCTTCGACTAAAATTTTTTTATCCGGAGTGTATTTAATCGGTTCTGTTCTGTCCTCTTCACCACCCCCCACTCCCCCCTCCCTCGGGTGTGTGTGCCGCTGCTGCTGCCGCCGCCGCTACTGCCGCCGCCGCTACTGCTTGCCCCGTCGTTACACCAACCCGAAGCTCTTTGTTCCCCCCTTGGATCTGTTGAGTTTCTTTGTTGAAGAAGCCAGCATGGGTGCCCAATTCTCCAAGACCGCTGCGAAGGGAGAAGCCGCCGCGGAGAGGCCTGGAGAGGCGGCTGTGGCCTCGTCGCCTTCTAAAGCGAATGGGCAGGTAAATTCTACCTGTGGTTCTGGTCATTTCTTTGGTGTCTTTCTCTAGTCCCGACGCTTCCCCTTCCCTTCTGGTCGTGCCCGAAGCGCCTTCGGCGGAGAGGACGGTGACCAGATTCCAGTCTGAAAGTTGAATGGAAATCGATAGCTTAAATTGTCAATTTCTTATAGGTGGGGTCTCCCCCCACCCCAAAGTAGTGGTTCCCGGAGAATCCTGGTGAATTCTTGTGTAGACGGGAGGAATGAACGATAAATCGTCTAAAATGGCGTGTTTGGAGCTTGGCAGAACGTGACTAGCTAGGTGCTACCCCACACCCACGCACCCAGCCAGGTTGCATTTGTGTTTGGTGGGCACAAAGGTATTTGAGTGTCTCTCGTGTTTGTTGTCGAGACTGGGTCGCCTTCAAGATTTCTGAACTGGTGTGATTGTGTATGTGGGTAGGGAAGGGCGGGGGGAGGGCGAATAGGGATGGCGGTGGAGAAAGGCGAGGAGGGAAGAAGGGCTGTCTTATTGTATGCCGAGGCGGCGTGCCCCGGGTTCTTGGAAAGGTTGCTGGCTGGCTGGCTGGCTGGAGCTGGGCAGAAGGGTTTCACTACCTTTCGGTGGGCTTTTCCCACTGTTCTAAATCTGTATTCGTAGTTGTCTCTGGAATTACACACCCATCTGACTTTTAAATGGTCTCCCTAGGGTGGGAAGACTCTGTGGGTCCTTGAAGAACCTGTCCAGATGGTCAACCAGAGGCAGTTCTTGTGTTTCGGTCGAGATTGTTGCTGTGCGTGCCGCCTGGACCACTGCGGGGGCTGCCCCTGTGATGCCCGAACCCAGGCGGATGGCTACGGTTGGGTGGGCCCGAGAGGTCGGCCAAGGGTGGCTGCTTCACAAACACCGGGCACCCACCACGCCTCTTTTCCTAGAGCAGAGGCCGTGTTGCTTCGGCGGCAAGCCCTGCCAAGAGGCTCTGAACCCGTTAAAAATGCAAAATGAGCCGCCTGGGCGCGCCCGGGCTTCGCAGAATCACTGGCGAAGGTGGGCGTGGAAGCAGAGGCAAGACCTCTGAAATAATCGGTTTCCCCCTGCCTTGTTAGTTTTATCCAGACCAGGATGCCACCTGAGCTTTGTTTGCGGACTCCGCGCTGCGCTATCCGGTCTTGGGGGCGCCTTGGCTAGCGGGCAGGGCCCGACCCGGCAGGGCGGGGTGGCCCGGCCGCCCCGCCCCTCCGCGCCCGCCTGCGCCCCACTCCGCGCCGTGGAGCCGCAGCGCCCCCTGCCGAACCCAGGCCCTTGGCGGGCGTAGGGCCTTTGCGCGCGCAGCCCAGGCACTTCTGGCTGGAACGCTGGGATCCCCCTGGGAGTTCTTGGTGTTTTGAAGGCGCCTTTAGAGTTTAGGGAGAAAGGGGCATGTGTAACCTAGGCGCAGATCACCCGCTCTGGCTCTGTGCCTCCTTCCAAAGGGCGTTTGGCGTATCATATATTACGTGACTCCTTTATCCCAAAGCCCTTGAGGCGAAGGTTGGAATGGGTTACCCTTTGCTTTCCACGTTTCAGACTCGGCCCTTTTAAGGCCTCGGGGGAATTTATTGCGTAGTCGAGGCTTCCTCAGTTCCTTTAGACATCCCAAACGGCACTGCCCGCAGGTCTTCGAGGAACTCTCCTCTGGGCATCCAATACCGCCTCCCCATGAAGGAGAATGTCTCCAAAACCAGAGGGGCCCCGGGGGACGCTAGTCCCTCCCGGTCCAGGAGTGGGGGCGGGGATGACAGGCCCAGGCCCCCTTCAGTGACCTCCCGCTTTCTCTGCCCCGCAGGAAAATGGCCACGTGAAGGTAAACGGCGACGCTTCTCCCGCGGCCGCCGAGCCCGGCGCCAAGGAGGAGCTGCAGGCTAACGGCAGCGCCCCGGCCGCCGACAAGGAGGAGCCCGCGGTCGCCGGGAGCGGGGCGGCGTCGCCTGCCGCGGCCGAGAAAGATGAGCTGGCCGCCGCCGCCCCCGAGGCCGGGGCCAGCCCTGCGGAGAAGGAGGCCCCAGCGGAGGGCGAGGCCGCCGAGCCCGGCTCGCCCACGGCCGCGGAGGGGGAGGCCGCGTCAGCCGCCTCCTCGACGTCTTCGCCCAAGGCCGAGGACGGGGCCACGCCCTCGCCCAGCAACGAGACCCCGAAAAAAAAAAAGAAGCGCTTTTCCTTCAAGAAGTCTTTCAAGCTGAGCGGCTTCTCCTTCAAGAAGAACAAGAAGGAAGCGGGAGAGGGCGGTGAAGCCGAAGGCACCGCCGGCGCCTCCGCCGAAGGCGGCAAGGACGAGGCCGCCGGGGGCGCCGCTGCGGCCGCCGGCGAGGCTGCGGGCGTGGCCTCCGGGGAGCCGGCGGCGGCACCGAGCGAGGAGGCGGCCGCGGGC